GGGGGGAATAATCACGTGATCGGGAGCTACCGCCTAGTTGGAATAGGCCAGTAGAGGCGGTACATGGAGGGGATCCCACGGGGACGATGGGGAGGAAGTGGGGGTAGGTAGCGATTCATCCCGTCTACCGTCACCGGAAGCTCCTCATATCGGATGATCCAATGGAAGCGAGGAAAGTGATCGCCGCTGTGAGGGAGGGAAGCGAGGTAGTCGCGATAGAAGGAGGAGAGGGTACGGAGGAGCGCCGCTCGAAAGAGTTCATAGTGGCGACAGGCGGGGATTGTCCCCGGAGCTACGCAGTAGACTTCTACCACGTTGCATTGCTCCCATGCAGCGCTGAACAACAGGATATGCCAGCAGAAGGTGGGGGCAGCGGGTTGAAGGGATGGGTGGGGGTAGGCGGTGGCGAGTAGGCGGGTCGAGTAGAAGTCGCGGAAGAGATGGGGGAGGAAGGGATGGACAGGGAAGGTGACGGGGGTGCGGATCTGTTCGAGGGTGAGAAAATCAAGGGGTCGGCGGGATAGCGTCCGAGGACGAAGGCCTATTGCCCGCATTGGTACGTGGGCGAACTGGGGGACGGGTGGGGCTGGAGGAGGAGGGGGATCGGCTCCGTCTCCGTCGCGCGGTGCTTGAGGTGGCAGCTGCAGGGTTGTCATCTTTGGGCTTTGGCGGCTCCAGATCTCTGGTCGGATCGTTACCGATGCGCAGGCTGGCTCCGCTGGCGAATTCCAGTTGGCGTTTCCTGATGGCAATTTCTTCGCGCTTTCGTGTTGCTTCCGGATCTTCCGCCTCCGTGCCCGTGCGCGCCGCTTCCTCTGGCAAAGCTTCCCACTCAGACGCGATTCCTTCTTCTCCCTCCTCTTCTTCTTCTTCACCCAGCTCGCCCTGGCTATACTCACTATAGCTTCCCTCCTCCGACGTTTCCTCATCGTTGTCTTCTTCGTCGTCGTCGACCACCACTTCCTCTGCCTTCGGATAGAAGGCGTGAGGGATGATGTTGTACGGCTTCAGATACTCCTGCCGGGATGGTAGAGTATCTTCGTCCCTGGGCTCCTCTAAGCATGCAGTCCACTGAAGGTACGGATCCAGTGATCACTCGAGAATGTACGGAGCAGGGTTGTCTTCGCTTTGCGAATAGATGTCGGGCGAGAGGTTGTCCGCCAATTGTACGATCGGCGCGATGAGCTACTGCGCAATCAACTGGCGGCGCCCCGACTGTACCGATCCAAAGAGAAAGCCAAGAAGATCGCCCTCCACGTTAGTCCTCCAAGCTTGGATGATCAGCAGCTCCGGATTTTCGATCCACGCAGGATGCTCGCTGGTCTGCATCCACGTCACCTGTACTCTGGCCAAGCAGAAAGGCAGTTCCTCAAACGTTTTGCGCCACAACCGCCAATGCCCAGGATTGATAGGAGGGACTGAAAGAGGCTCGAACGAGAAGGAAAGAGAAGGATGAAGATGGATTGCCAGAAGGTGGGGAAAAGAGAGGGGAGACCAAAGATAGATAGAGGAGCGAGAGGATCGGCGTGGTTCATTGGGGACATGGGAAGGGGACGAGGGTGGGGATCGCCGCTCGCGCAGAGAACGGCGAATGTCGCCAAGATCCGGTGTAAAGATCAGGATGAGGTTGTACCCAGGTCGGGCGAGGACGTGCTGCCACACATTGAACACCTGCTCCGTCCACTCGCGCAGCGAGGTCAGGATCGCGGTATGCCACTGCGGATTGACCGAGCTGATGTCGCCACTGAACGTCTCAACCGTGGTGACGTGGCTCGTTCTGGGAGCCGCTCGCCGATGAACTGCGATTACCTCCGCAAATACCACGACGTGAGGACTCCCTTCGATTCGAAACGCGGCGGCGACACACACACCCACGTCGCAGAAAAATTGCACCAAATGCCGAAGATCCGTAGTGAGCCGTGGGTGACAAACTTGCCGAATCTCTAAGATGTGGCCTCGTGGCTGCAAGTTTGCAACAGCTGTTCGTCAAGAGCCCGCTCCGTGATGAAACTCATGGCGAGGTCGGAGAGGAGGACGAAGGACGGGAGAGCGGAGAGAGAGTTAGATCGTCGTCGTTCTCCTCGCTTTCCGAGGAAGAAGAGGGAGGAAGATCAGAAGGAGGAAGAAGACAGAGGTAGGAGGTATGCCGAACGATGGGGACAAAGCTATGGCTGGTACTAGCCTCAGGCGCGATGCGCACCGTGTTGGCGCCGTTAGGACCGAGCTCGACGATGCGAAAGCAGCCAGAGAACTTGGGAGCGAGTTTGCGGTCGCGTGCACATTTACGTACCTGCACTAGGTCCCCTAATTTATATTGATGCTGGGGCTCAGCGTTTCCGTTTCGAGCCTCGTAGCTACGGACCTGCCTACCGTGGGACAGATCGGTCATCCTTTGTCTTTTTCGGGCTAGCTTCGGAACAGCCCACTCCATTAGTTCGGTGTACCTTTTGGCCTTGGCCTTGAGGGCTGTACGCGTGTCTCTACCCCCTGGTTCGGCAATTTCCGAGTTACCCCGATAGTCAACACAGGGGAGGCTATTAGTACGAAGCTGAAAAGGGGTAAACCCCGTGGACTCGTGAGGGGTGGCCCGGTGGATCCCGACGATCTGATATACGATCTCGGGCCACGGACGCGTGTCGTGTGCCACTAAATTCCTACGAAGGGCGGTTTTAATCATACCGTTGGCGTTCTCAGCCAACCCGTTCGACTGGGACATGTGGGGTGCCGTATGTCGGAGCGTGACGCCCCTTCGTGCGAGCAGTTCCTCTACTTCTCCCTTAAATTCGGACCCATTGTCGGTTAGAATTTCTTCCATATCTAGATGGCTATAGAGGAACCGATCGATGTACGTAGCTATTTCTGCGGCTTTGCGGGTCTTGCAGGGGTAAACTTCGATGCACTTGGAAAAATGGTCAATTAATACTAGAAGGATAGAATATTCACAGCGGTTTGGGCCAGGTGGCACATCGATATCTGTCGTGTCCATACTGACTCGCTGGGAAGGACGCTCTACTTCCGTTGGTACTATCGTGTTTGGTCCCCGAATTGGGGCGCGATCAGCGGCACAGACCAGACAGTTGGCGACAATGTATTTGACATCATCTCGTATGTTGGACCAGAACCATCGGTTCTGATCTACAGTTGCCTCCGTGACACGTATTGCGAAGTGAGCGGCTTGTTTTTCGTGAGCAGATCGGATCCAATCATATCTCTGGAATGGATGGGGAACCGTCAACCATGAACCCGATCCGTCAGTTTTACGCTTCTCCAAATGACCGTTGATCCATCGATAGTCCCGAGATCTCTCGGTTGCCCTACGTGTGTCATGTTTGGTGAGTTGACCCAATGATAATCCCGCTAATTTCGTAAATAATATTTTATCCGTCCAAACCTCCACTCGTCGGTATTTTTCGTCGTATTCAGGGTCGTCCGTACGGGCGACCTCGAATCGAACCTCCGTGGGGAGTTTCTTCGTTCTACACAGGGGGCACCTCCATTCCTTGCTACTCGTCTGATATCGAACGCAGGCCCCGTGCGCACGATTGACACACGTGGCACATTCTACCCAGTCGACAAACCCGGTTTCGAAGGGATGACAGTCGACCCCATAAACCCGTGCAATGCACGTGCAAAAATAACAGAATTTATCGGGGAGGGTGGCAAAGAAAGTTGAGGACGTGAGAGGGGCAGAATTAGTAGGAGATGAAGGGGTTGCAGAGGCAGGTGGGGTAGTCATGATGACAGAGGAAGAAGGGATAAGACTGTAATGCAGAGAGGGTAGAACAGACAAATTAGTCCTCGTGTCGCTTACTGCTTTGATAGGATCTTCACTTGGCCGTACCGAGGTCCGATCTCCTGTTCGGGTTCGTTCCACGGAATCACCTCCTCATTCTTCGGAACTTTCTCAGGCCGGTGCAGTCGTGTCAGCCCGTTCGCATTCCCGTGTCTCTCGTGCTTCTGATGACGAATGTCAAAATCCTTGCTCTGCAGCACCGTTGCCCATCGCCCGATCATGCTCGAGTAATCCTTCGATTTCTTCAGAGCTAATAGCGGCTCATGATCAGTTACCAGGGTGAACTTTCGCTCGTACAAGTAAGCGCGAAAGTGACTGATTCCCCAGAGAGCCGTGTAGCATTCTCCCGTTGGAGCGGCGTAGTTGCGCTTGCCGGCGGGCACGCATACTCCACCACACTCTCGAGTCCGCAAGGTCCCACCTGGGCAAGGATCGCCGAAATTGCCTCTGGCTGCCAGTCAATGATGAGGACAAAAGGCTTTTCGGGATCCGGTCTTATAAGGACCGAAGCCGAAATGAGAGCGGCCTTGAGTTTGGAAAACGCTTGATCGCACTCCTGCGTCCAGATCAACGGCCGATCTTTGCGTAGCAGATTTGTGAGGGGTCCCGCAGTCGCCGCGAAGCCCTTGATAAATCTTCGGTAGTACGAGGCCAGACCCAGAAAGGCGCGAACTTGTGTGATAGTCGTAGGCACCGGCGCATCCCTGACAGCTGCCACCTTCTGCGGCTCCAGTTGGAGTCCTTTTTCTGTCACCACGTGTCCCAAGAAGGAAATTGTGGTAAGAAAAAACTGACACTTCTCAAGCGCCACTTTGAAACCTGCATCTCGTAACGCGTGCAGTGCCCATTCGATGTGCCGCACGTGTCCCTCGTAGGAACTCGAGTACACCAAGATGTCATCCATGTACACAATCACGCAGTAATTGATGATGCTCTGCGCCAAACGAGTCTTCCGCACGAAATTCTGAAAAGTCATGTTCATAGCTCGCTGAAAGGTCGTGGGGGCGTTGCTGATACCCATCGGACATCGAATCCACTACCACGTACCCTTGAAAAGCACAAATGCTGTTTTCGGACGATCTTCTTCTCGAATAAGAAGATGATGGAACCCATGGCGAACATCAAACTTGCCAAGAAACCGAGCACTCCCAATCGCATCCAACAACTCATCAAGCCGGGGGAGGGGGTACACATCTTTTATCGTGATATCATTTAACTTTCGATAATCAATGCAAATGCAAATCCTCCGGCCTTTTTAGGCACGATTACTATGGGAAAAGACCAGGGACCGATTACGGGTTCGATCCATCCATTAGCTTCAAATTCTTTAATCCGCTGAAAAGCGGTCGTTCGTTGAGCTGGCGGGTATCGGTAAGGAGCGCAACTAATGGGTGGATGGTTTCCCGTGAGAATGGCATGCTCGATCACATTAGTTAGGCCAATTTCATTGTCGTGTATGCTCAGTACTTCTGCGTAACCATTTAACACACAGATTAACGATTTTCGAAGTTCTACGGGGACGTGACCCGGTAGGGTGATTGTTGATTCCCCGGAAATCTTAAGGGGCATATCGACCCAATCAACCGACCGTTCCCGCCGATCATGGACACTAGAGAAAACGGAACTACTGATCCGAACAGAGAAGACAGTTGCTATCATCTGGGACTCAGCGGGGCCGATTATCTCCGTTTCTTTATTTTTAGCATCAGTCTCTGAACCAACCGAGGTCGGTTCCACAGTTAGCCCCGTTAGATCCGTCATTTCTTGCATCAGATCAGGTACATCACTTACCGGCGCTTCCGCCTCTTGTTTAATCAAGGCGATGGTGGCTCCTATCGTTAGTAACGATCTGGGCGGAAAGACAGAAACATCCAAATACTGTTCCGTTTGCTGATAACGTGTTCGTAAGGAGAGAGTTCCTTCGTACAAGGTGCGAGGGGGTTCCAAATCATTAGCCAGGTCAGATACTTGTAATATGGGTTCCTCGAGAAGGACTGAAGGACTAACTTGGGTTATCGGAGGCGCAAGCGCCCTGTCTCCTGAATCCACGTGGAAGCTTCGGGCAGGGTCGGGGCACACTTGAAATTCTTCGGGAATTTCGTGTTCAAAAAGCTCGACCAGGTGCTTCCATTCATCCTCACTAGGCAGCTCTTCTGCGTATTCTTGTTCCCTGATTCCGTTATCGATGTCCGAGGAGAAATACTCTTCGGGATCAATGCATCGAATCATCCCTATTTGAGCCGAGTTAGAAGCTCGTTTTATCGTTCGGGTGGAAATTCGCAAAGGAACAGTTTAAGGTTTTCCCCCAATTTGCGTGAGCACCAGTTGTTTCGAATCGAAATGCAGTCGTGCGCCCACTGCCATCGCCCAAGGTAATCCCAACAACACGAAATAGGAACGCACATCTATCACGAGCGCGTTGACGAGGACGTGCACCCGTCCAACCTTTACAGCCACATTCTCAATAATGTCTACGATGTTCATTGCTTCCTCGTCGGCTGAGACATAATTGTCCTTGCCAGATTGAGGGAGAATGGATTTGAGTCGTCTCGTCTTTCTGACCGTGTCTAAGGATATGGCTAATGCAGAAGACTCTGCATCGATAAGGGCGTTAAATTGCTTGCCCCAAACTTCACAATCACATTTCCGCACTCTTCCACAGTATCGGCCGAGCTCGTACAAAGTGATATTTTTCTGCTAAAGAGATCGCTGCTATACGCGCGGCCTCAGGTTCGCCGGCTTCGGGTTCGGGTGGTGTAACTTCCTCACTCCCTTCCTTCTTCTTCAACATTCGCTGTATGCGTTGATAGGTGAAGCGCTTTTGATTTTTCTGGCCATGTTGCAAAAGTTTATCATTCGCCGCTTCAGATATGATGAGCAGATGTCCCACCGGGATCGGAACACAAATATCCAATTGCTTGAGTGCTCGTAACACATCAATTTCTCCTGACTGAAACTACGGACCAGGATTGGATTCACGATCGACCCATTCAAGATCATCAGGGACCGATCGGATCGCTCCTACCATGCCTGCAAGATGAAGATATTCGAGTGGGTCGACCACGTCAGCAGCGTCAGAAGAAGCTCCTGATGTCGACGCCGTTGCCGTAGAGGGGGAAGGCTGTTCTGGGGCATATGCTACGAGTTCTCCTCCCTGGGCCATATCCATCAACGCGGCCATTCGTCCTTGATTCAGGGCCACATGGGCCACCGCGGGTGGGGGCTGACTACGCTTTGGTTGCGGGCAGTCTCGGGCGAAATGTCCGGGCTGTTTGCAATTAAAACACTCGATCTTTCCTGCTGGATTAGCTGGGTGAGGGAACTGAGGTGTGTACCTTGGTGGAGGCGGGGCAGGCAAGAGTGGAAATGACGTGGGAGCAGGCCGAGCAGGGGTCGGGTTAGGCTTTATTAGCCTGCTCATTATCTGTTCCATCCGCTCCATATGGGCGGCCTGCATTTGGATCAAGTTGCTCATCCATTCGGACTACTTGGTAGTGGCCATATGGATCATCTGGGCTTGATGTAAGTTGGTTATGGCCGGCGAGGGGGGTTCAGGTGAGATTCCGCTTTTAACTGTCGCGATCGGTTGATTCACCGGGGAAGAGGAAGACGAAACAGCCGGGATATCGGAAAAGATCCCGTCGGGAAGGTCATGGTCGGAGCGGGGATAGAACCGTTTTACCGCTTGCAACCATGATCATCTTTTAGCCGCTACATCCCGTATGGTATCTGTAATATCCTCGTCTCCTTGACTGATATATATTTTCTTATCAGCCAGGTCCAGTTCCAACGCTTTAGCGATGATAGCCGATAGCTGGTGTGTCTTCGGCGGAACCTCTTTTTGCAATTTTCCTTTCAACGTCGGACTTCGCAGATGATCAATGAACAAATCTCGAGCGGACTGCTCGTCTCGCCCAGATTTGTCCAACGTGGTTTGAAATCGATCCACGAAATCGGACAGCAATTCCCCTGGTCCTTGTGGCCGAGTTTTGAGCACGTACCAGGCGGCATCTTCACTGACTGTATCGAATCGAGCCAAGAATGCTTGTTTACAAGTATTCCAATTTACCCACGCGTGCTTTCTAAACCAATCATGCGACGTATTGCGAAGTAGCAAGGTAAGAACGCGGTGAAAATCACCCACGCTATAGCCTTGAGCTTCGACGGCTTCCAACCAAGCCTCGGGATGGGTATGGTTAGGGAAGAAGGGAAAGGGGGCGGGAATGCTAACCACTACCCTATTACCGTCCACCATTGGTATCGCTGGTATAACAGCACCAGATATAGATCTGGTCACTGAACGATCTCGACAAGCGGGTTGGGGACTTCTTCTTCTACCTCTCGCCAGTTCGACTTACTATCATCAGAACCGACACGTGTCGGCTCCGATACCAACCTCACGCCCTGTGCTGTCTTTCACTCGGAGTGCTAGATGTTCGGAAAGAGGCCCAGAAAAATAGCAAGATGGGGTGTGCCAAGGATTTTTGGAAATTGAGTGTGGGGACACAGACGGAATTGAAATCCCTCGTGTTGGTCCGATGAAGTAAGTCGGTTGCTTTCGCGCGTCGCAGAATGCGCGCGCGGCCACGGCGCGAAAAGAGAGAAATCTGAATTCAATCCAAAAAGTATTGTCGAGCTTCCCACCGGGCTACGGTCCGTCGTTTAGAGCGAAAGGGCTTCGGCACGCTTCGCGTGTCTCGTTTTCGTATCAAATCGCGTCGTCGCTCGCTAGTCAGTTCTGAGTCTGATGTGGAGGGTCGCAGCCGCGTGGCTCTTTCCTTATGCTCGTCCTCACTCCGTATTCCGTAGTGGAAGCCCTTTGCTTCGTAGCGATCGAAATGCTGGCACTCTGTGCACAGGGTTCGAGGCCAATGGGGTGCCACTGCCGTCCACGGAATGACGATCAGCTCGTTAAAGGGGGGCAATATTGAGTAGGGTGGGAAGTGCGTGTCGATAATAACAAATCCAGCCTCTACGAACCCTGAACAACGGTTTGTCAGAGGGAAGTAGTATCGCCCGCCGATCTGTGCAACAGCTTCTCGTACATCCTACTCGCATACACGTGTCCTTTCCTCGTTGTAAGGGAAAGACCGTGTTGATACGGGAGGTACGGGAGGCTGACGCCCGATCGAAGGGCACTTGTCAGTCCACATATCAATCAATTGCAGAAACCTCGAGACGTCATCAAGAAAAGAAAACACTCGCGCAACCCCCAATCAATCCTTTTCTACACGAGAGAGAAAACACTCATCCACTTGATTATGCATGTAACTAACGGACCGGTCCGCGGCTCGGGTTTAGTGAGCCAATGCGTCGTTGATCCGAGGCGCCTTGTTTCTCGAGGCTGCCCTGTAGATCGGTTGCAGATGTCGTGCAGCATAAGGCAGATGGCATGCGCMGTGCATTCGGAACTACAAATCTAAACACTCTYGCATTCTCGGACAAAATCCCAACAACAATCGTCTAATCAACGCAAAAAGACGCGTACCTCCATACATACATTCACTGTGGAAGGTGCGAAAATGAGGTATGCACAGAGATAAAAGATGGATCGCTGAATAATACACACGTATCCACCGTTCACAAGACACGAAGACGGGGCTCTTGCATAGGGGGACTACCTAGGAAACTAATTGAAGAGTTCCGGAATAAGTTCTTTCACACAGGAATAACATGCAGACTCATTCCCAATAGAGAGAGAGAAAGAGATCGGGACACGACATCATTCAAAGATAGAAGAGAGAGAGAGAGAGAGAGAGAGAGAGAGAGAGAGAGAGAGAGAGAGAGAGAGAGAGAGAAACGAGGGAGGAGTGTCGAGATGGAAGAGGATGAAAGCTGAGAAGAGGAAGTTCGGCGTTGCCGCCGTACACTCACGCCAGAGATAAATATCCGCAACAACAAAGGCGCATTCACCGTGAATTCCAATATGGCCCCAGGCCAATCACTCACTCAACTCCAATCATCGATCCTCATACCCGCACCGACGATCCCGGCCGCCGCGTGCTAACTCCCACC